TAAAATGTCGAAAGCAATCAATAAGTACTTCTAATCATCTAGCGACGTAAGTACTGGCAATTCTGACCGAAGGAACTTGCAAGTAATCTGGCTAGCTCGGAATGTTTATCGATTCGGCCAGGGTCGTGACATTGGAGTTTTTCTGCCGAGAATTTCTCAATAATTGTATGTAATCCGAGAATGGAAATGTGTCCGATAAGTGGGCCACCAGGGGGCGTGCCAGTCACCATTTGCTGGGTAACTTATGAGCTCATAACGTCAGCAGGGAAGTAAGGTTCCATCATAAAGTTTTATTTGCAGATCGGTTTCGGCTTTCGGCGCTCAAATGTAGGCCCCACTCTACTACGCTCTTATTTATTATTTTATTTTTCTGACTCTAATTCTATTTGCTTGTTGGACTTATTTTGAGAATAAGAACAAAGCTTGTTGAACTAAAATACAAAAAAACCACTGATAATGTTTCTAGTTTCAATTCAACATGTTATGAAGTAGGTAAATCTGAAATAACTTTTTTATCCCAAAGCATTTAACGGAGCACTTAATTTGAATTGTTTACCTTCCAATCAACGGCTGTCTAACCGAACGAGTTTAAAGCGAACTCGACTATCGGATAGAAGAAACTATTGAAAGAATTACAAGTGTTGAAAAAGCAACAATTTATTCGCAATAACATAACAGTAACGTAAGTGTTACGATGGCGGCTATAACTCTTAGTAATCTCACGGTACTTCGGCCAGTAGCAATAATATCGGTAATTGAGGATCGTGACTAATCTTCGAGACTTCGTAAGCTCCTGACGAAAATCTCTTCAAATGAAGACACGATCGTCTGAAAACGAAACAGAAATGTTTATTTTAAAACGCGTATATATTTCAATTTGGCTATAAATTATCCTGTTTGAAGAGTAACCATTGACTGAAGTCGTAAAGAAAGATGTGGTCCCACCATTACAAACTGAATACCTCGGTTGCATACTTGCGTTAATTTAATTTATTGCTCGTAAAATTTGTAATTAGTTAGGTGTGCAACCGATGTTTACTGTTTATGTGCTTGTTATTGGCCGGGATAACCGTTATTTCGCTGTAAAAACTACCTCGTAATTACATAGTTTTGTTTTAATTATTTTTGCTAAGAAATGTGTACGACTCATTGCTGCATGCTGTGTTATCTTGTCTAATTTATTATGGAGCTGGACTTGAGTCTTGATCTAAGCCTTGTCATCATCATCTTCATCATTATTGTAATAATCATGTTCACTGATTAAGCATAGCCCTTTTCCTTTTGAGCCTTCTTGATTTTGCACATCCCTAATCCATCTGTAATTTTAGAAAATATCAAAGGTTTTATCTAAACTTATAAATAACTATAGCATAATAATATACCTAGTTATTACCTAGTTGCATTCAAAATACAAATACAATTCAAACGGTATTATTTACCTTATGGCTCACAAATTCAATTAAATATTTATTTATGTCTGACTACTGACGTATGTGCACTAATGTTGCCTATACACTATATGTTGAAATATCGTACCCTAAATATGTTCATACAAAAGTAGTCTCTAAACATCGGAAATAAGGTCTATAACGTAGTTTGTGGAGAGCGGTCACCGGTGACCGCTTGGGGTATATTTTTTAAGGGGGAAAATCATCTAATGACTTCTCCCGCCTGGGTGAGGCGGGAGGGAGTGTCAGGCTCTTACTGACTAAAACCATCCCGTTGCTTCTCCTACACTTCGAGTCGGGGCCCCGGCAACCCGTTAAGTCCTCCGCGGCTCCGTATCGGCATCAGCCCTATGGGGCCGATCTGTTTTGGTCTGATGGCTCTTGAGATGCGCGCGAAAAGCGACGCACCGTACGCTAGGGTATTGCAGCGCCATTGCAGCGGTAAGTCCCCTCTTTGAGGAGTGGCTTGAGAGACGCTACGGCGTCCTCACCTACCGCCTAACACAGGTCCTCATCGGACATGGAAGTTTCGGGAGGTACCTGTGTCTGATGGGGCGGGAGGAAACGCCCGGGTGTCATCACTGCGAGGACCGCCCTGAGGACACGGTGGAACACACGGTGGGAGAATGCCCTGCGTGGGCTGAGCACCGCCGTGCCCTCAGGGAAGTGATCGGCGATGGCGACCTTTCGCGTCTGGGCCTAGTGCAGGCCATGATGCGGAGCGAGGGGGACTGGGATGCCCTCCTTTTGCGAAGCAGTCATGCTAGCTAAGGAGGAGGCGGGACGCGTGAGGCAGCGAAGCGCTGCCTCCTCGCAACCCAGCCATCGCGAAGGACACACCGGGCGTCGGGGATCGCGGGACGATCTCCGGCCACCGTAAGCGCGGGACTGCGGACGGCGAGCATGGGTGGCTCCCCGTCCGACCAGAAACAGACCCGAGCGTACGGCGCGTAGCGTTCCGCGCGCGCCTCAATGAGCCATCAGACCACCACAGATGGGGCCCAATAGGGCCGATGTCGATTCGGAGTCGCGGAGAACCTAACGGGTAACCGGGGCTCCGGCTCGACGTGCAGGAGAAGGAACGGGGTGGTTTTTAGTCAGTAAGAGTCTGACACTCCCTTCCGCCTCACCCAGGTGGGAGAAGTCATTCGATGATTTTCCCCCCTTAAAAAAAAAAAGGGCCTAAGGTAAGGTCGGACGGCGGCGAGTCAATCGTGCTCGCCGACCGCAGGCCCGTGCTTACGGTGACTAAAGGGCCTACCGTGTTTTTGCTCACCAAATGGCACTAGCGTGAACCTCTCATTCTTCGTCCAATAGTGATTTATATAATGTCACACCATGGACGGTAAATTTTTGATAGCTGTTATGATTGGACCAAAACACGCCTAAATCTGCGCCATCTAGTGATCAAAAAGCGTTACTAGTTGACTAAATTCCCATTATAAATTAAGTTATACATAACACCACACCCTACTATGTGACCTTCTCTTTAGATGGAATGAGTCCTACTCATAACATAACTGGTAAAAGGGGATGAATTGTTACAGTATTAAAAGTCATGATTTGATCTTATCTTAAGGAGTAAAAAAGCGACAAAAATATACAATAAATCTCATTCTTTCAGTTACGTTTCTGTTCCGTACGTTTTCCCAATTTCATGCATGACGTTAACCGTTATTGGTCGGAGGAAATAACCGGAGCCAATCAAATCGTTTCGCGCCACTTTTCGGGTACAGATTAAACAGGGTTTTGTCAAATGGGGATGGATGAGTGAATTTTATTTATCTGTGTTTAAATATAAGGTTTGAATGTTTGCTATTATCTTTAAATGATAGGAAAAGGTGTATTTATAGGATACACACTTATTGTTAGTTATTATTGGGCGTATTGTTATATCAGGTGATATTATTTACGTAATACAACAATAAGGATGATGAATTTTACCACTAATAAATCTATTATTAAGGGTATCTAAAAATAATAATAATCTCATAACGGATTTATTTTGAACTTAGATTAATGATTTTTCAAGCTTTTATTGAAGCAAAATGAGGAAATACAAAATACGCGAACTAATACGGTAAATATTGTCATGTTTCTGCAAGATTTTCTGGTTACTTTCTTCACAACTAAATGCCAGACACTGATTCCATATGTATACATATATCTTGATTCACACAAATCTACATTAACAACACAGATAAACATTTTTTAACTATAATTTATTAAAAGTAATTTGTTCGACATCATTACAAGTTCCACAGATAACAATCTAAATAACAATTAAAAACCCCTTTTTATATAAAATGCTATATTTATCTCTCTGATAAGCCCTAATCTAGTGAAAGTTCACGTGTTTCATTATTTCCGAGTATATTTAAGTCATTGTTTTATTAATTGCTATGATGTTAATTGTTGTGAAATTGATGTGTCATTTTGTTAATTTAATTTAATTAAAGTCTAGTCATTCTAGCTATACATTATTCCCTACAAATGTTGCAAGTACCGAATAAAGGGACAATATTTGACATAAATCGAGCATCAGCGTTGCCTGACGATCGGGAGGCCCAATCCCCCCCCCCCACCGTCCCCAATCACTGAACTTTCCTCATCAAATTTCCTAATCCCTAAAAGACCGGTAAAGCCCTTGTAACGCCTAACGCCTTGTATGGCATAAGCCGTTAAACGAGCAGACGGATCACCTGATGGTAAGCAATCGGCGTCACCCATGGACACCTGGAACACCAGAAACATTACAAGTGCGTTACCGGCCTTTAGGAGATTAGGAGTTTGAGGATTGTGGGGGATTCAGGGATTGGGGAGATTGGGAAAGGGGGGAGGGTAGCTGGGCCTCCGGTAACCTCACTCACACGACGAAACACAACGCAAGTGTTGTTTCAAGTCGGTTTTTTGTTAGGCCGTGGTATCACTCCGGTCGAACCGGCCCATTCGTGCCGAAGCATTGGTCTCTCACACTTACAATTTACTTATTGTAATTAGTCCCATTGTTAAAAAGATTCAAGTTTAACCCTATGCTAGTCTTTGTCCGTAAATACTTGTGGTTGTTTCCATAGGTACAAACTTCTCGAAATAGTTTGTTTTCGGCATGTTAGGAACCCTTCGAAAGGGTTTGAGCAGGAATGTTCCTAAACGCTTCAGCATTCAGTTGAAAATCAACTGTAAGATTCAATGTTGTACTTTAGACAATTGTTTCTTCTAGGTATTTGGAATTCTTTGACCTTTGTAAGCTAGTTAGGACATACCCCGTCCTCCTACGAGAATTGCATACAACCCACACGAATGAAGTCGTGGGTGTGTCACTAGTATTTATAAAGATACAAACAAGTTCAAGGTCAAAGAACATGTTACCCTATTTTAACGGTAGTTAGTACCTTTTCTGCTTGTTTCATTTACGTATAATACTTACATTGAAAAGTCCTAACTGCGAGAGTTCACTTAATAAAAAGAAAACATCGTATCCACACAAGTTCGAGGTCAAAGGAAATGCAACTGTATGTTAACAATACTTAGTACTTTTTCTGTTTGTTTCAGGAGGTTCCGATAGCAATAAGGGCAAAAGTAAGAAGTGGCGGAAGATCCTCCAGTTTCCTCACATATCACAATGTTTAGATATAAAAACAAAAATAGGTAAGTCCATTTTTATATTGTTTTAGATTTTAAGGAAGTTCTGTTTGATATCTCAACGTCTAATTTGATGAATCTACAAAATTATCACATAAAAATATCGTAGCTGTTGTTTTACTTGATTGATTCGTATCCTAAAGGTCTAGTGTTCGTAATCTTATATTTTACGGAACACGTGGCTTAGATAATATAAAGAATTGTGGGATTGTCGTTATTGAAATCCATAAAATATACTTAGTAACACAATGTGTGGGATTCTGCATTAAAGTGTTCTTAGATCGTACCCTATAAAGACACTTAAATAACATTATTAACTTAAAAAAAATTCCACTACTTTCTTACTTTCAAAATTCTGCACATTCTTTACTGTAAATATAATTCATGATTTTACATTAAATGAATTTAGTGTAAGGTCTACAAAAGCAGTGCCTGTTTACCTAAACCAAACTAAAAACCTATCTGCATTTATTTACCCTGTATGAATCTAAATCCGAAGGCAAATCCTCTCTTCAATGAAGTATTGTGGTGGATGTGGTGGTTCGTTTTCAGTAGGAGCGCCAGTGGTTGCGTGGGACGGATAAACGGCTTATATAATTCTAAGTCTATCCAGTATTCCCAGCTGTCTAACTTGACTAGGTTTACTGGAGCGGCATTGTATTGTCATGGAAATCAGAGCCGGATTAAACTTACAGAGCGTCCTAGGAAAGCATCTCATAGATGCCTCTAATTTTTTGGCGTCAGTCATCGCTATGGGTATGCGCGTCTCAAGGCGCTCCTCTATTAACTGGCGCCCTAGCCACTTGTCTCGTTTGCCTTAGGGCTAATACGGCTCTGATGGAGATAATGCTGATTGTCTCATGAACAATGTTGCTGTTGGGCGACTGTGCCCGATTGTAGCTTTGCAGTGGGATATGCTAGTGTGTATTTTAATATCCAAGTGAAAGAAGAATAATACTTTCTTACGTCAGTGTTACTTATTTCTATTTAATTTAAACAGGGTTTTTTTGGGACTTTCCGTGATCTGCGGTTTTATCTTCGTCCGTTTTCTCACATTTTTAAGCTAGTGTGACGCCATTAGTATCTATCCTTCCTTAAGAGACTTACGCATCCATTTTTAATCCTGTATCTTTGTACTAAGACAAGTTGCTAGTCTAGTAGAAACACTAGACTTGTTATGTCGACCTGTTTTCTATGTACTATTGTATATCCTGATCCTATTTACTATGTTTTCCTTTTGTCTGCAAAGTCAACAAGAACATAAATATCTGTTATGGTAGTCAGCAAACACTTCAGTTTTATAGAGCTTACTGTCATTTACAGCTTCCCCAACTCTGAAATGTGATGAGAGAATTATTCTTATTCTTAAGAATTGTTTGATTCCATTCTCAAGATTGATTGGTTTCCGATAAGTATCGGATTGTTCTTTTCTGTTCACATCGAATATTATTTGTCAGCTATGGATGGATGAGTTTATTAGCCGAGAACAAAAATGATTTTTTATTTTTTTGTTTTATTTCGTTTAGGTGGCAACAAGCTTAAGGTTCGTCTGATGAAAGGTTTTCTGTAGATCATCATTACTTTATGAAGTTGAAGCTTTTAACTGTATGGGCTAATTGCAGAACTTGGAATAACACTATGGATGTTTAAAAAGTTTCAAACAAAATATGCACACTATCTTTGGCTTTACTACCTTATGATCAAAGAGAACGTGGAATTACAAAGTAATGACGATGACAAATGTTTCATTGCACCTACTGACCCATTTATACGGAAGCTTAAACCAAAATATTTATGGTCCTATTGCTGCTGTATTTAATGTTATATCCCGTAAAGATTGCGCTAGGGCATCCCCCACATCCTTCCTTAGAGGAAAAAAATCCTATATAAGTTAGTAACTACAAAACTATAATTATAATATGACATATGATTTAAACAATGCTCTGTATAAGGAAGACTGCCAGTTGCCGTCAAAATCAAAACTATTGCTTCCTTATGCACTTTAAATTTAGGTAGATAGGTATATTGTTACTTATGGGCATGGCGGTAAAATGCTTATCCAGCGGTTTTCTGACGTCAAGAGTTAATTTATTTTTATTTGCTATTTAATTATAATCATTATTAATTTACCTTTTAGGTGTACTAATGGCCTTAGTGTTAGCCGAATGAAAAAGTATAGAAATATCAATTAACGTGATTGGCATAAGCTTTGACATAATTTATCGTATGACAGCATAATTCCTATTTAACTATTCGACAAGCCTTTGTTATACTGCTTGGCTACTGCCACATTATTTTGAATCCCTATTTCCTTTAGACCTAAATATTTATTAAGGTATTCGAAGACAGTAACTGAGATTTATAGCCTAAGGAATTAGTTATTCAGAACAATACTGGTCTACAATGCTATTTAAGAGAATTGGTATTCTAAAAGGGTCGCAGTTCTAGTGACTACTCGCAGTGGAAACAAATATTAAGGACTGTCTGACCGGTTATCATAGTATACTTGTATCACGAGTGCATTGCATCATGAGGAGAGATATCATCAGCCTTTAACTGCTGGGCAAATACCTCATCTCACAATGACACGGATAAAAAATGACCATTAATGACCACACTTACCATGGTGACCATGGAGGGATGATACCAAGATCGTAATATTCTTGATACCAAGTTAAAATGGAAGATTAGAATAAAGTTGTGCTAAACGAAGATGTTATAAATAATTAATTTAAACATATACAGAAGTATAAAGTATACTGTCACTATTCTAATGCCGCTTGCAATCGGAGTGTGCTATTATTGTAATCGACATCTGTTTGCCGATGCCGTCCTACGAAAATTCACTGATTCTAATGAAATCAGTAACTGTACTAGTTTGGTTTCCACGAAATAGAAGTTTAAGGTCATGTTTGGGTTATGACAAACCCGCCGCTGTTACCTAACCACTGCATCTCCTCTAAGCCAGGATCTACGGTATATACCAAATTACCGGTCGCGGAGAACCTAACGAGTCGCGGAGACCCTAACGGGTTACCGGGACTCCGGCTCGACGTGCAGGAGAAGGAATGGAGTGGTTTTTAGTCAGTAAGAGTCTGACATTCCCTCCCGCCTCACCCAGGCGGGCGCAGTCATTCGATGATTTTCCCCCTTAAAAAAAAACAAATAAAAAAAAACAAATTACCGACCAAGCGAAACACCATAAAGGCGCATTTATGAAATGCGACATCCACACATAGTTATTCTAGATCAGGAAGTCATGTGCGTGTTTGTAAAATCACTTACGATAGAAGAGAAATTCCTAGTGTGAGCACAGACTCTTTTAAAGAAAGACTCCGCGCGAAAGACTGAATATTAGAGCATCTGAACAGAAATCTGCGACTAATAGGAATACCAGTTAGGCATGTTTTTATAATAACTATCCTGAGACATACTAAATTACAGTATAGTACTAGGTACGCGCACGCTGCTCATGAAGAAGAACCCCTCTGTGGTTCGAAACTAGTAGAGCTTCTCTCAGTATATTTACGTTAGTAACCCGCGATTTTAGTTAAACCAGTTAGGCAATTCATAAATAGCCTACCTAAGTAAATTCAAAGATATTACAATCATACATATTCATTCTATTGAAATTTCAAAATACAAATACCTATTTTCAAAACCAGAATTTCTGTTCGGTTCCAACTTCATTTACAAAATGGAAGACCAAGTATTAATTTCAGCTGGAAGTAATTAAAACATAATCAAGTTTGGTTGGATTTGGTACCGTATTTCATTCGGTATTGTACTCTTAATTTCCGTTTTATCGATTATTCTGTTCGCTAAGTTTCGAGTTTGCGGGAGTCTATTCTGTGATGTTATCTTGGTCTGTTTTAGTCAGTATTGATTGGTTCTTTTTACAATAAGAGATTTTCTTACATCAGCTTTGTGCTTCAAATTTTGCTAAACGGAATTTTGGAACATGTTCAAAAACAGCCTAGTTGATCAAGTGGACTTTCAAACACAATAGGGTAGATGCGTAATTTTTATTTTAATGTTCGTCTGGTAGATTATTTTATATTATTAGACACGTATTTTTTATTTTCTTACAGAAACTAATACTTTCGACGTTATATTGATGTGAAATGTCGCGTGACGTCACTTCTATGTACATTTTATACGTAGAAATGACATTTTAGCCCCCACTCCTAAACGTTGATTCGTTTTATCTAAGTATTGTTTTATTATACAACAAAGTAAAAAAATACGTGTCTAATATTTTTTCATTACCTAACTTACGGACTAGTAATTATATATTTAATTTCATACCCTGTCATCATCCCTATTATCAAATGCAAAATTCTGAGTTTTAAGTTAATCAAGCAATGAATTATTAAGGTTTCGTTCTTAAGTAACCACAACCTATTCATCACTACACTATCTCATCGCAACAGTAATAGCCTATCTTCAAAATAATCCTATTTTTTCAAAACCCGCAAACGACAAATTGGAACGAAAATAATTCCATACATTCAAATCAACCCCATTTTTCTCCAAAAGACAGAATCACATTCAATCGATGTAACTATTCTCAGAATATATTATTATAGGCATCGATTGCTGAATTCTGACCTGAAGAAAAAGCCTGTTTTACGTTTAGCAAACGTGGCACAAAGCTAGCGTTCTCAGTACACAGTACCCTTCGGCCCTTTGACGAATAAAGCAGTAGGGAGATCAATGGATATTATTCATTGTAAAAGACGTCCAGTTTTCGTTACCATAAATTATACGAAGCTGAAAAGCCTTACATTAATGCATTTTGGAGCTTTGAACACGATTTTCTTTTAAGTATTGTTGAAGCGGATTTTTTGGACGGTGTTCTGGGCGAGCAATTTCTTTTTTGGACTTCAGTTTCTTTGTAAAATCGAATTCGTTAATAAGATTTTGCGAATTAAGAATATTTGAATTTGAAATTATCAAGGATCTATGACATAGGAGATAATGCGATAATTATTGATACATTTTTC